ACAGCTGATGGCAGCCGTTTTGGTGCCCTCGTTCTGCGAGGGGAGGGTGCGAAAATGGCTGCCGCCTATGGAGGAACTTCGCTGAACGGTGAGTTTGAAAGCCATAGGAACGCATTGAACAAAGTTCAATGCGTTTCTATGGCTTTTCCCCTCCCGCACAGCGATGTTTCCCACAGCGAAGGTTAATCCGGAACGGATTAACCTCGCTGTGCGGGGCACCACTGTATCATCTTGCTTAAGCTGTCTTCAAGAACACAGGGCATCACATCTGACCTAATTATGGGGACTATTTGTCTCTTTTCCGGCCTTCAAATTATATATAATCTTGGTGAACATAAAACCTTGGCTTGTCTATAACTTTTCAGTAACTAAGGTATGACTCAGCCCAGAACTTTGTTCTTTCCCAAGAATGAGTACAAAATTTTAGGGGTTATCCCATGTGTGGGTCTTTTCTCATGTGCCAGTCAGTCTAAATTGCTTTGGTGGGAAGGCACACAAGCAGGGCATTTGATGATCGGCTCTTGTGTTTGGGAAGCTAGTATGTGAAGCAGTCAGCAACACTTATTTGCCACAGAATTTTATTATATCCTTCAAAATATTAAAGAACTGCAGGAAGACCCCCATATCTGCTAGGGATTGGTTACAAGGCCCCTGTGGATACAGAAAAGGACAGATGCAGTATTAGTGAATGCTATATAGCTGGATAAAAGGGGCAGGGAGACTCAGGAAAAAATATTTTACATGCTTTGCCAGAATCGGCCTCTAGAGGGTGCCAGAGATTATGTATGTATTCATCATTAAGTATCCATAGCACACAGTCTCTGGCCCCCTCTAGTGGCTGGTTGTGATAATACATGTGAAAACAATATTTTCAGACTGAGGATAAGTGAATCAGTGGATACTGATCCCGTGTATAAGGGGGACCTACTGCATAAGAAGTCACCACTTACCTCTCGTGAAATTATACCCGCTCTGCGGGCTCTGCTTCCCAGGACAAAAGAAAACTCACTAACTTGAGCCAAGCCTGCAGATACAATCCATTTGATGTGCTGGCTGCTCTTTGGGAGAATCACAGAAAGGACAAGGCCTGCCAAGAAAAACTTTGAGAGAGTATATTTTTAGAAACATAATAGAACAAAACAGACAACACTTTAAAAAAATCAGTGAAATCCATGATAAAGGGATAAGAAATGTATGTCCCAAGATGGTATTTGACTGCAGCTTCCATAATTCTTTACTTAATTTTTTGGGTTGAATCTAAAATTTTCATTTAAAAAATTCTGCTTATATAATGAGGCTTTAAAACCTTTTCCTTCCTGAGTTGTTGTCCTCTTCCTGAGAATCAGAGTCCATAGCAAAATTCTTAAACATGATATGGGGACTATAATTTGGCAAAGGGGGAGCAATAAAATAAGGCAAAGACTCACAATGACAACCCACAGGAGGGCTTTGGTGGGTGTAGCAGTTGTGAAGATGGGATAGGAAAGGCTTTTCTATACAAATGGAATTTCATTTCCACAAAATCTGGTTACAGTTGTGTATGTTTAGCCCTAGGAATCCTGAGAGGTGATATGATAGCCATCTTCAGGTATTTTAAGGGCTATCCCATGAAAAATGGAGCCAGTTTTCAATTTAACCATTAAGAACATCTTGGCAGTGAGAGCAGTTTACAGGGGAATGAAATGCCTTCAAAGGCGGTACACTAAACAGATAGACTCCTATCAGGCAATTTAGCTGTAGATTTCTTGCTACAACAGGGGTGTGTGTGGACTTGATAACCCTTAAGGTTCTCTTCCAGATGTATTTATATAATTCTTATATTTTAGATGACATTAAAAGATTAATTTTACTAATTAAACCAAAACTGGAATTTCTTTACACCATTACAGATTAAAATAAGACACAATAGTTTGTATTACATGGGACTGCATTAAGCAGGCCACAATGTAAAAGCTGAGAGAGAACCTTGGAGTCTGTCCTGATGGAAAAGCAGCACTTTACAGTATTAATCAACCAGAACTGGCCTATAAAACATGGAATCTCTAGTAGTAGATAAATAGCTCTCTGTTCTGAATTTCTGAAAAGAGACCCAATGAAGAAAGATTGTTTCTCTGACAACTCTGCACAATTAACAGTAATGTTTTGCCATTCCTGCCATCCCAGGACTGCAGAGATATATTCAGTTAGACTTGATTTTTTTTTTGCCGGTTTCATTCAAATATATCAACCTATATTTAGTATCTAATTGTATTATAAAACACACATACCTTCATTATAACTACTGAAAGTGTAAGAAACAGCAAGACTGTGAGTTCATATATTACAAATGTAGGGAAAACATGAAGGCCTGCAAGAGAAAAACTGTTGAAATTCTTTCTGAATGATAACAGTAACAGAATTTAAAAATAACGGATGTCTTTTGTATAATTTGTCAAAAGCCAACAAAATTATTAGAAATACATAATGCCTAGAAGAAATGTTTAGCATGCATGTTTTCTTCATTCTATCTCATACCTGGAATAGGCATGGGATTTTTAGACTACAGACCCCATAATTCTCCATTTTGAGTGTTCTGTCATACAGACCTATAACAATGTGGCTCATTTGGAAAAAATGCCTAGCTGGGAAAGCTGTGAGGCCTAGAACAGGCCTAATTCCACACTAGCTTCCTATTTAGGAATGAAGCTCTTAGCAATGGGGCAGCTTCCTTTCTGCACAGCAAAGTAGGGCACAGCCAGGCCTCTGTAAGGCTCCAAAGCCTTCCTAACTAGGCCTTTTCTCCAAATGAGCCACATTTAGGTGTTTGTAGGTATGGCTATGTCAGGGAAAACTCCCAGAATGGAGAATTACCGGATTTGTTGTCCAAAAAAATCCCATGCCTAGTCTTGGAAGTCTGAAATGGAAAAATGGTAGTCAAGAGGACCTCCTGTGGATGTTTTACTTTTTCAGAATGTAGAATAAATTACAGTACCTTTAGACCAGTATTTTGAAGGAAACTTAACGTCTTGGTCCAAACATTAAGTGTAAATAGAAGATGATGATTCGTTGAGATTATATGTTTTTTAAGCATCTTTTTCTCGGTTTTTTTAATGGCTGGGGATGTCCATGATTTCTCACTTTCCTAATATGTTGCTTTGATACATTTCCACGTCAGTTTTATTGACAAGGGGTTCCTGGCTAGCTTGTGGTCACGGGAAAAACCTGATAAGCATGTAACACAATCCTATTGCCACAAGACTCTTCAAAACAAATAGAGAAGGCAGGCAACAACCATCTTCGTTTGCTCATTCATACTAACAGTTATGATTTAGTGAATACGGTATTCAGATATATTAGGAATTTTATTTTCTGACTTTTCCACATAAACTGACAAGATGTTTTCCTTGTTTTATGTAATAATGCTAAGGTCTATACACAGTTTCTAAGCCCACGTGGTAAAAGCTTCCTTTTATTTACTGTATTCTCCAGAAGCCTATCATACATTAATTATTTTGTTCCTTTCACATTTATTAACATAGCACAGAGATTCTAATAGTGAAATGTAGAATGCACTTACATGAAATTTGAAATGTACTTATTTGATAAGAAAGACCTATTGCTTCAAAGATTCATATTTCGTGCAAACTTGCTTGGTACTGCTGCTTCAGAGAATGCTATTATTATTTGTAACATTTCTATTTTGCCCTTCAGTAAGCTCAAGGCAAGTGCACAGGCTCTCCTCTCCATTTTATCCTCACATAACCCTAGGAAATAGGTTAAGCTATTGGCTCATGGTCATGAAGTGGATTCTATAGCTCAGTGGGCACTAGAAGCTACATCTCCCAAGTCCCAGTTGAACACACTACCCATTACACCACACTGGTTCTCAATAAGCACCTACCTCAGAGCGTTAACTAGTTAATTAAAGTATTTTGACTTAATTCCCTTTTATTTGCCCTCTTTTTTCCTTTAGCATCTGTCTTCATTCTTCTTTCTATAAGATTCCTGTTTTTGTCTATTCCTTCAGCCACCTTGCCTAAACATTCTGTCTCCTTTGTTCCCATCCAAGAGGTTGTGGGATTTTTTAATTTCCATCAAAGCAACATTTTTCTTTTAGTCAGAAAACCCAGACTAAACTATTTCAAACACTGTGTTTGGGATTAAAAGATATTCTTCATTAATTCTGTTAAATTTTTATCTCTTGGTCTTTTTTACAGCATGCACTACCACAAACTGTCTGAAAGTCATTTTAGCCTCAAATGCATTTTGTTATGGCGAGTCTAATGGTGTTTTCTGACCAACAAAAAAACCCTAATAAATTTTGGGGACTGTGGAATAAAAAAAACTCAGATAGTTTTGTTCACTGAGCACCTAGAATACCCATGGACAACATTACCCCCCAGCTTGATTCAATGGTGGAAAGAGGCATCACAATCCCAAGCAGAATGCAATTTACACTTCTCATAAAACGTTTCTTTGCCTGTTACGCTGATAGAATGAAGTTTTATATATGTTTCTTTAAATAAGTTACCTATAGATGCAAAGAAAATGATGGCAAGAAAGTCACGTATAGGTTCAATACAAGATGTAATCTCTTCAGTAATCATGTGACCCTGAGAAGAAATAAGTGCTCCTGCTAGGAAACAGCCCAGTTCCATTGAGACATCCAATAACTCTGTGATCTGTTAAGAAGAAAAAACAAGATACTGTACATTACTAGTCTCCTGTATACATTTTCTTCATTAGCCATCTTGCTTGAAAACATTGCACCTGAGCAAAGCCAGTGTACATAATTAAATAAAAACATAAAATTAGAATTTCTAACACACATTATACACATGTGAAATAATTATTTTAGGATTTTCAAAATGTAAATCTTGTTTAATTCACTACAATTGACTGCTGAAAGTTATGTTGCCAGCATCATCTCACTTTGCATAGCTGGTAGGATTATAGAAATGGAAGAAACACTTCATTGAAGTTTCCCTCATTAAAAGAAGTAACATTTTTATATAATTGCACTTAGGATGAAAATGCAAGGATCTGACTAGAACTGCACATGCAGAGAAAACAGAAAACATTAAATTGAATTTTTGCAAATGATCATTAGTGATGCCACATTTGCTGTTACCATGGACAGTAAATGTTTCTTGATGCCAGCAATTACTGCTAGAAAGCAATTTTACAATACATAAAGGTAGCAGCTTTAACCTCTTGTAGCACTTAAGAGGCTAAATTGTCTCTACCATAAACTTATTTCTATGTACAGTCGTGCCCCGCTTAACGATTGTCCCACATTACGACAAATCCACTTTACAACGATCTTTGTGCAATCGCAAAAGCGATCGCAAAACAATGTTTTAAAGGGTTTTTTTCCGCTTTGTGAAGATCAGTTCCCTACTTCAGGAACCGATTCTTCGCATTACAACAATCAAAACAGCTGATCATTGGTTTTTCAGAATGGCCACCGGGTGCTCAAAATGACTCCCCACTGTGTTTATGGACGGATTCCTTGCTATACAAGCACTGCAAATAGCCGCCGTATGAGGATCTTCGCTGGATGGTGAGTTTTTAGCCCATCGGAACGCATTAACTGGGTTTTCATGCGTTTCAGTGGGTTTATTATTTTCGCTTTCACTCTACAGTGATTTCGCTGGAACTAATTAATGTCGTTAAGCGAGGCACCACTGTATCTGGAAGGTAGGATGAGATGCAGGGAGCTGGCACTGCTAGTTATAGAGAGCATGTAACTCCGTTTATTCAACAGCTTCAGTGGCTAACAGATCATTTACCATTTCTGGGCACAGTTCAAAGTGCCGTTAATGAACTACAAAACTACACAGCATGGGCCCAAGCTATTTAGAAGACTGTGTCCTTCCATACAGACCTGCCCACGCTTTTGAGGTCAGCTGGAAAAGCCCTTCTCACAAACCCACCACCTTCAGAATCTCATCTAGGGGGGATTTGAGATGACTTTGTGGATGTTTCAAAGCCTCAGAACTCTTTGCCAAGATAGGCTACAATTGTCTACATCCTGTCAGCCTTCGGGCCACAGTTAAAGACTTTCATTTAAGGAAGACTTTGCAATCAACCGGAGGTTAACTGACATGATGGCTTTCTAGGTAAATTAGTATTTTAACAGAGTCTTAAATGTCTTGAAAGTTTAATTGTATTTGAATACTATGAGTTTATTTCAATTTTGAGATTTACAGTATAGCCATTTAATTTTAATTATATTTTAACTATATTGCAAGTCACCTTGGATTCCAGTTCTGGGAGAAAGGTGGCAAATATGAACAGGTAAATAAATGTCCATGCACAAGCAAAGTCTACAGTTACCAGCAGTTTGCAATAATACTGGGAAGGGGCAGAAACAAACAGCAAGCTGAAATAATCCCACTGTTGAGCCACTAGTAATCTTTATACAGTATATCCTCTCATCATCCTGTGAGTGATGGATAAATGGATGCTTGTAGGTTGAAAATATGTCATGTTAATAGATGCAGTGGCCCAGGTTAGAGACACCTTGAGCCCTTAGAGTAAAAAAAAACTTCATTAAAAAAATCATCATCACTACAATGTAGGTCAAATGCACATGGACTGGATCTTGTATTGATTTGTTATTTGCATAGTTATACAACAAGTCTACCTCTCTATCTTGCATCGATTGGACTTCTGGTCTTGCATTATGTTCTCCCAATACAACAAAATCCTATGCCTCCTTATGACTGAACTATATAATAAAACTATCCACTTACACTATGGAGTAAGCCCAAACAACAAATCAAAGGAGGCTGCTTCAGATATACCGTGTTTTCCCAAAAATAAGACAGGGTCTTATATTACCATAATTTTTGCTCTTAAAAATGCGTTAGGGCTTATTTTCAGGGGATGTTTTTTTTTCATGTACAACGATCTACATTTATTCATTATAACCATCTTCTCTGGGGCTTATTTTGGGGTAGGGCTTATATTGCGAGCATCCTGAAAAATACTAGGGCTTATTTTCAGATAGGTCTTATTTTCAGGGAAGCAGGGTATTTAGCCCTCTGGAATACAGTAGTTTTCTCCTAAGCAGTGGGTAATAAATAAGGCCAGTCCCAAAGTTTTATAGATGTGTATGGAGGATGTGGTGGCGCTGCAGGTTAAACAGCAGAAGCCTCTGTGCTGCAAGGTCAGAAGACCAGCAGTCGTAAGATCGAATCCACATGACGGAGCGCCCGTCGCTTGTCCCAGCTCCTGCCAACCTAGCAGTTTGAAACCATGCAAATGCGAGTAGATAAATAGGTACCACCACAGTTGGAAGGTAACAGCATTCCGTGTCTAGCTAGCTGGCCACGTGACCACGGAAACTGTCTACAAACACTGGCTCTATGGCTTGGAAACGGGGATGAGCACCACGCCCTAGAGTCAGACATGTGTGGACTAAATGTAAAGGGAAACCTTTACCTTTGGAGGAGCAGTTGTCAGGGATGGGGGTTAACATCTGCACAGCTGAAAATGGCTAGTGGGAATGAAAGCAGGAGTTTCACTGCTCCTATGTTACTTAGTGAAGACAAGCTTCCCTTTCTCAATATACTTAAAGGAGACAGACTGCCTTTCCACATATACAAAATAACTGATATACTCTCTTAATATATATATTCAACTTAAATTATCTTTTCAGAAACTAAGGAAACTCATCCACAAAAACTCCTTGGGTGAATGTAAGATGGCATAATTCAGATACGACGCTAAGGCAGTTTTAAGGCAGTGTCTGCACTTTTTTTAAAAGGCATCTATATGTTTGTTTCTTCAGTTTGGTATATGCTGCCCAACTAAACAGGGTCACCATTTTTGTTCCTATACAGTGAAATCCCCAGTTATGTCTTCTTATAAACAAATTCTATTAAATTCAGTTGGGCTTATTCACAGGTATATGCGTACAAAAATTGCAACCTGAAAAAGATTTAAGTACCCAGTTAACACATCAAATACTCCATAAATGACTGTTCATTACTAGATGCCTGTTCCTTCACGAAATCATTTAGCTATGGCCCAGGATTCTTTCTGTTGTCGACCTGGAGCTTAATGCACAAATACATGTCCAGACTTGCTGCTGCTCAAGCCATGGTACCTGGACTGTAATCATGCCAGCTATATGGGTAGAACTTGCAGTTGGGAAGTCTTAAGCTCAGCCCGTGTATTTGTTTGGGAAGAATGCTCTAATATTTTCATAGTAAGTAAAATTTATTGATTTTAGTCCTCCTATTTTTTGATAGTTAATATTTAAAGTTATTTATACAGATAGAAAATTAATATTACATAAGCTAGCTTTATTAACATCATCTATTAGATGAGCCTATTCCTTTCAATGGCTTCTTTTGCTGACTGAGCTTGACTTCATGCAGTTATTTAATTTTTTTAAATGAAATAATTATGATATATGATGCATGTTAAACAATATAAATATTTGGAAAAATTACCATTAGCATAAGGAACATAAAAGCAGATATTCCTAGGACTAGGATTTCTTTATTTCCTTTGCTTTCCACGTGTAACTTTCGGTAGTAGGGTCCTATTAGATAAGTCTTTAAAAAAAGACATATAAGCAACACAGCAGCCAGAGAAAAGAGAATCTGTCCAACCAGCATCAATATTCTTAGTACCTCCTTGATAATGCTAGAAAAGGAAAAAAGTCAATTTTAGCCTTGTAATTCTAGATGTTTAATTTCAGATTATTATTATTAATTTTCTTATTAAAAAGGAACTTTTGCATATATTTCTACTTTTCATTTACAGTTCCTAGTAAGAAAGAAAGCACTATTTTAGTCTAGAAAAGTCAAAGACTAATCTACTTTAGGAAATGGTTGAGGTTTGACTATTTTACTCTGGCTTAATACATTTATAAATGATAAAGTGTTACTGGTGGCAATAATTTACTAAAATGTTTAAAATCTGTTCTAATGACAGCAACCTTTCAATATTTATTTTATTTTGATATGTTTAACACATAAGGCATAAGGATACCCGATATAATCCACTGATATTTGTCCTATGCATAGTCAAAGGATAGCATGCACCATTTTTGGTCAGTCTTCCTAAGGCAACATCTGTAGCAAATTCATGGAGGTTCAAACAGCTACATGAAAGAAGAGAAAATTGACCAAGCAACTCCTGTACATTTATGGTTCTAATTCACACATATCTTTGGATTGCAACCAAGATATGCAGCAGGCACCTACCATAAAGATCAATAGCAAACTAATTATTATGAGATGTAAGATGAAACACTTAACTGCAAGCACATTTTAAAACCTGAAAAACATGACACAAGATAAACGCTATGCATACTACCCTGAAGTTCTTCTAAGAAGGACAGGATAAATGTGCAATGAATAAAAATATGCTGGTGAACTTTGTTACCTGGAATGTGTACCAACTCCAGCTTGAATAAGCGTTGGCATGATGGCTATAAACAAGCCAAGCTGTACATCCTGCATTACCAGCATTGCCAGTAGAACACTGCTATAATCAATATCTCCTGTTTGACAAAGGAGCAGATGTTAAATATGCAAAGAAACTGTAATGTTACTAATATTTAACTGATGGGGATTTGTCACATGCTAAATGCAGATAATCATGAATTTGTTATACACCTATAAGGCAAACTTGGCAAATGCTATAAAACAAAAGACAAAAATAATATATAAGAAAATGTGAGTCAGGTTCCTGCTTACTGTGAAACTTGCTTGTACTATATGAAGCTTTGATTTAGAGCATAACTTACTGAATCAAACTAAAGAATGCATTTTGACTTTTTTCAGAGAAACCGAGTTTCAAGACATCATTGGTATCATCCCTAAAAAAATCCTCTCTTTTCCTTTGTTTCTCAAGCATTTAGGAACATATACCCAAGTTTTAAGATGCATAGATGACGGGGTGCGTGACATTCCTAGACCTGCATCTAGAGTCTTACTTCTGGACTACCTGAAATGGCAGGTTGCTCGCCTGTAATTGTACAGTGGGGTCTCTACTTAAGAACTTAATCCGTATTGGAAGGTGGTTCTCAAGTTGAAAAATTCTTATGTTGAATCTGCATTTCCCATAGGAATGCATTGAAAACCATTTAATCCGTATCTGCTCTTTTCCATCCATAGAAACTACAGTGGAACCTCTACTTAAGAACTTAATTGGTTTTGGAATGGTGTTCTTAAGTTGAAACGTTCTTACGTTGAAGCAAAATTTCCCATAGGAATGAACTGAAAACCAATTAATCCGTTCTGGCTGTTTTTTTGTTATGCAGAGGTGCGTTCGTACATTGAAGCATTAGTTCCCATAGGAACTAATGCAAAGCTGGTTAATACGTACTCTACCACTAGGGGGAGAATTTTTTTTAACCTAAGATGACCTAAGGTTAAAAAAAGAGCAGGAAAGGTTTTTTTTCCTGTTCTTATCTTGGATTTCTGTTCTCAGGCAAAATTTAGCAAATGGAGCTGTTCTTAAGTTGGATTGTTCTTAAGTAGAGACGTTCTTAAGTAGAGACCCCACTGTAGTTCTTTAAGTGGACCTCTGTGATTCACACTGTGGGTGATCCATGCTTGCGTGAAGCCTCTTCGGAATATTTAAGAGCTTCTGTGGTAGCAAAATACACATTAGAATAGACCCCTCATCCTCGGTATAAGTACCTTGGCACCAGGACTCTCCCTTCAGTTGTGTCAACCACCACAAAGAGAAAAATATTGCATGGCGTGACAGAGGGGAGGTCAGGTGGGATGTGTGAATCACAGAGGTCCTCTCGAAGAACTACAATTACAGGTGAGTAACCTGCCGTTCTTCTTTGTGATCTCTGTGAATCACACTGGGTGACTAGCAAGCTGTCTTACCTGGAGACAGGGTGTCATGGCAAGGCGGAAGCCAAAATAGCACGTCCGAATGCTGCATCAGACTTCTGTCAAACATCTAGTCTATAATGTCGGACGAAGGTAGATGGTTGTGCCCACGTAGCTGAGGCACAGATGTCGGGGAGAGGCACACCATGTAGGAATGCTGTAGAGGCTGCCGACGCTATAGTGGAATGAGGGCAAATAGCTTGAGGGACCGGCTGTTGAGCAAGCTGGCATGCAAGCCAAATACTGTAGTAGAGGCAACTCAACGAGAAATCGTCTGGGACAAGACTCATAGGCCTTTGTTAGGAAGCTGATGACTGAGAAAAAGTGGGAATGTCAAAAGGGTTGCATACACGACAAATAAAAGGAGAGGGCCCTCCTGACGTCCAACGTATGAAGAAGTCTTTCATGGGTTGTGGATGGTGATGGAAAGAAAGATGGGAGGACCAGTGGTTGAGAGAGATGAAACTGAGACACCACTTTCGAGAGGAAGGAGACATCGAGGAACAGCTTTAATTTATTGGGATAGAATTGTACATAAGGATAATCATGGCATAGGGCCGCAAGTTCGCTTGCTTGGCAAGCTGAAGTAATTGCAACGAGAAAGGCCATTTTGAAGGAAAGTAGATGGAGATCTGCTGAGGCTAGTGGTTTAGTGAGTTGTCATAAGACTGAGGTCAGGGGACATTGTGGACTAAGTTGTTTTTTGCTACCGCAGAAACGCTAGGATATTCCGAAGAGGCTCAGCGCAGGCACGGATCACCCACAGTGTGATTCAGAGAGGCCACAAAGAAGAAGAAGTTTGTTTGACACGATAATTTGGTATTTATTATTCCAGTTTAAAACACCACACCCATTAGTGCTGCAGCACTACTCTGGGCAGTTTACATAAAATACAGAATCAAATACTATGATAAAATCAAGAGCAATCTAACGATATAAAAACAGAGAGTGCTAGAGCCTTAATAAAACTGCATAAAACAGAAGAAAAAAAATTAACAAAAATGTGGATAACAAATAACTGAGAGGAGTATCTCCACTAGCTAGGGTAGGAGTGGAAAGCCTCCCTGAAGAGCCATGTCTTAAGTTGCCTCTTAAATGTTGCATGGGAGGAGGCCAGGAGAAGCTCTTCCAGGGGCTGATTCCACAAAGATGGAGCCACCGGGAAGAAGGGCCTACAGGATTGCCACTTTCTGGAAAGTCAGGTAAATGGAAATTGGTCAGGGAAATTGGTCTGAAGTGGGGAAAACTGTAATTAAAATATATTCAAGCAGTGGATTTTTGACCTGCTGCTGTAAGAGCATGATCTGTTCTTGTGGCAACTGGAATAGAGAAGTAGCAGAATACAAATAAAACTTAATGATGTCTTATTTTCGGGAAAACGGGGTAATACATGTTGCACAAGACTGAATTCAGGTCAACATCAGAGTTACCATGCTGTCTTGAACTGTGGAGGACTTGCATTGGTTGTACAGTGGGGTCTTGACTTGAGAACTTAATCCGTATTGGAAGGCGGTTCTCAAGTCAAAAAGTCTGTAAGTCAAGTCTCCATTGACCTACAGTGCATTGAAAACCGATTAATCCTGTAACAGGCCGTTTTTGTTCCATTTTGGTTTTTTTCTGGTCTGTAAGTCAAATCTCAGTCTGCAAGTCAAACCTAAATGTTGCAGCCAGAGAAGTCTGTAACTCAAAAAGTCTGTAAGTCAAGCCGTCTGTAAGTCAAGGGTCCACTGTAATTGATATGAATCTGTTGCAGTCAGTCAGACATGCTCATGCATGCTACACAGAGCACTTGGAGCTTAAACACCATAAGCAACAAAAAGAAATTCAGAAGAAAGAAGAAACTTGAGGGACAAATTAAACATCTTGAAAATGTTAAAAAAAAAATACTGAGAGAAGCCAAAATGGAAGATGAAACAATTGATGAGAAACTAAAAGAGTTACAAAATAAAAAGAGAAAATTGTAGAAGTGATAGTTTTATATCTTAAATATTTATTCTTGAAAAACAGTTTAGTTGTATTCTAATTTCTAACTTGATTATTACTGAAGATTCAAAACTATAAGTTTCATAATGTGGCTTCGAAGAAACCATTTTAGATAGAACATTTATATAATTTTTTAGTGTATCTTTAAAACACTAACAAAAATGTTTTGTCATTTGTTAGCATTCAGAGTTTACTTGAAGTTTGTATCTTGGTGTAATTTTTGGTGCAATTACAAAACAGATGTTGCTTCAGTTAATGTTGAAAGAAGCTAGATATTAAATCTCTTACTCTGACAAATATTTTTGCAGTTGAGACTTGTGTAATTGTAAAGTGAAACATTTTCATTAAGACTTGCATTAGTGTAACACCACCTATTCATTTTTTAACTTTTCATTATATTTGAATGGTGGTCAGGGAAATTGACAAATATTTGTCAGGGAAAGTAGGGGAAATAAAAAAAAAAACTTCAGTGGCAAACCTGCCCTACCTCTCTAGACAATTTATGGGCCTCCCTCAAGGTAGCTACCCAGAGAAGCCTTGTCTGCGATGACCTGATGAGTACAACAGTTGTAGGACAGTTGACACTGGGGCAAGATGCTTCGACAGGGGTCCAAACCATGGAAGGCTTTGTACATTAGATTCAAAATTCTGAACCTGATCTGGGACTCCAAGGGTAACCAGTGGAGGCAAGCCAGAACTGGGGTGATGCAATCATATCTGCTTGCCCCAACCACTGGTATGGCTGCTGCGTTCTGGACCCCCAGGAGCCTCTGGACCAGCCTCAAGGTAAGCCCTATATAGAAAGCATTGCAACAGTCAATCCGGGAAATGATCAATGCCTGCACCAGGGTCCTGAGGGAGCCATTGTCCAGGTAGGGGCAGAGTTGGGTGATCAGCATAAACTGGTTAAAGACCAATCTGGACACAGCTGCAGTCTGGGTGTCCCAAGAAAGAGCTGTGTCTAGAAGCATGTCCAAATTCTGAACTTGGTCCCTAAGCAGGAGGGCAATGCCATCCTGTCTAGCGACCCCCCTAACTTTTCAGTGCCCCCCTGAATACAACCTCTGTTTTGTCTGGTTCAGTCTGTTTGCCCTGGTCAATTCCAGTATTGAAGCCAGGCAATGCTTGAGTGTCTGGACAGCATCCACTACAGGAGTGGTAAAGGAGAAATAGAGCTAGGTGTCATCAGCATACTTATGACCTCTCACTCCAGATGTCCTGATGACCTCCCTCAGTGGCTTCACATAGATGTTGAACAGCACTGAGGATAGTGAAGGCCCCTGAGGGGCTCCACAGGTAAGGGTCCAAGGGGCTGATACATCATCCTCAAGCTGAACTTTTTGGATCTAGTACCTCAAGGAAGGATCAGCGCAATGTTAGGCCCCTGATCCCAATCTTCAAGAGCCTGTCCAGAAGGATACCATGTTCAGTGTTCTCCTGCTGAGAGATCAAGGAGAATCAACAGGATACATCCACCTCTGTTGTCCTCCCTTAAAAGGTCATCCTGCAATGCGACCAGTGCTGTCTCTGTACTGCAACACAGCCTGAATCTGGACTGGAATGGATCAAGTCAATCCTGCTCCTCCAGGTATGCCTGCAGCTGATTTACCACCACCCTCTCGGTCACCTTGCCGAGGTATTGTATATTTGCAAACAGACGGAAGTTTAAATTGTCCAAAGCCAACTGGAGGCATTTGATGATGAGTCAGATGATGGATTCTTTAATGCACAGGAGACGTCTTAGACAAAACCTGTTTCCCGACCCCGTATCTTGAAATGACTTGGGGGGGGGGAATAAAAGCACCTTAAAGAGCAGAGGGTTCCCTTTTCTTTCATTTGCACATTATAGACTTTTTTTAATAACAAGACTTAAAATGTTATCCATGCTTTTATCTTAGTTCCTTCCTACTTTTGTAGGCACACTCAACATTTTCTGGGGGCAGAAAGAATAGGGGAGTTTACATCTGAGTAGCTTAATCTTGAAGTCACACTTACCTTCTTTATCTCCCCGAGCACTCCCTGCAAGGAATCTGGATACTAATGGTGTACTTGACAATGATAAACAAGTAGCAATGAAAACACTCTGTGTTGCTCTAATTTGTAGCAAGTGTCCCCACAGTAAACCAAATGCAATCATCAGGAGGGTCATGTAGCAAGGTCCTTGCAAGGATATCTTCCACACCTTTGGCACAAAACAAATTCAGTAGTATTATTTTATAATATTATTTTCAATAACAGCCAATCTAGGGTAGGTACTAGACTAGGATTCGGGAAACCTGGGTTCAAATTAATGCTTGGCCATAGAAATTTGCTGGAGGATGGAAATGGTACATCAGTCCCTGAACTTCTCAGATATCTCAAAAACTCTGTCAAGGTTGCCATAGAAGCAACCTGCTGGCACATAACAGTTACTTCCAATACAACACAAATATTTCATTTTGTTAAACGGGAATTAAAGTGAACAATTAATTTGACTTTAAAAAGTATAGGGATTCAGAGAGTAGAATAACTTCAAGTTCCTCAGAGTAGATCACCCCTTTTCTCATTAACTGGCACTTGCATTCTCAATAACTCAGTCTGAGATATTAGTAGGTGAAAAAAAATAAAAGATCAAACAGCAAACAATACGCCAAAAGATCTTTAGACAATCAAAATAATTTTTCAGTTCTGGAAAAACCCTCAAACACCCTGAACGGTATGACCCCCAAGACCTTGTATCTACCATCTAATGTGATACATGTACAAGTATATTCACATCTTAGTTCACATTGTGCTTGAAAACTTACAACTTTCTAATACGGACCTGACTCTCACCTTGTGGGACTGATGAAGAAAGGGGAGGAGCAGAAAATTACCTCCTACCCCTTCTCTAGCACGAACCTCACAGTTTATTTTACAAGCAGAAGGTGTCCTGCACACTGAAATACTGTACATAAGTGGATCAAACCTATCCTCGGTTTTTCATTGACTAGAGAATTCTTTGCCAGTTTTCACTTATGGGAGACCCCTCTGTTAGGATATATTATTTCAGTCTGCTGATAAGGATTTACTTAATTGAATGGTCCTTCACCCCAAAATCCCAATCCTTCCACACATAAGAATTAGATGTCAAAAGAGTTCATGCCTTCTGTTTCTCCTGACTTGCTAACTATCCTCTTAAGTTATTAGTATGTACATAGATTTTATGAAACAATACCTTTCTTAGCCTTTCAGGGGAAAACTCCAGACCAACCAGGAATAATGTGAAGAACACACCAAATTCTCCTAATGTCTCTACCTGTACAATTGACTACAGAAAAAAAATACTGATTCAGTCTTGTTTTAACAGTTTTACTTTTTGTTACTGTTATAGAAGAGTCAGTTGTGTTCATTTTTGCAGAAGCAGTAGCTAGGTATGAAATTACTATGATTTACAACATTTATATCCCACTTTTAATCTACAAAACAATGCTCAAGATAGTCCACAATCTTAAAACAATTTTTAAAAGGTAGAACAACTTTAAACATAAAACATTGAAGTCAAATAAAAAACACCATCATTAAAATCAATCAAATCTAGAGATGCAATCCTCACAGTACATTTAACATTATGCACCCGTTTTAAGAGAGGTATCTTTACACCTAAAAGCAACAAGTGGAAACTGAGGGGCATTCATTCTGCAGTCTGGAAGCCATGCAAGGAAGAAGTCCTCTCATGTGGGCCTGTCAGACATACCTGTGCAGCTGTTTAACATTTGGACAAGTCTACAATATTCATAAGTAATCTCTTAGATAGTCAGGCCCCAAGCTATTTGGGCTTTAAAAGTTAAAACCAACTCCTTGAATAAGACCCAGGAAGCAACTGATGACCAATGCAGTTTTTTCAACATCCGCATCATGATCACAGTATTATACATGAGACATCAGCCAAACTGCCACATATTGTACCAGATGAAGATCCCAGACCCTTTTCAAGAGTAGTGCCATGCAGGAAGCACTGCAGTAATCAAGGCTTGATGCACTGGAAGCACTGATTATTTTTGTCAAATCAGGTCAATTCAAGAAAGGTCATATTTGGAGCATTAAGCAGAGTTGTGCAAAGGCACTTTGAATCACTGCCACCATCTAGGAATCAAAGCATACCTCCATGACTACAAACCTAACATGCTAAGGACAGTACAGCCCATTCTAGAAATGGATGAATCTCAGTGTGACTTTCTACTGATTAGTAACAGCTCCATCTTCAATTCAATTTCAGCTTGTTCACCCTCATTCAGTATACAGTATCAAGCTCAGGCAATGTTCAAGGGTCCTTACTTGGTATTCAGTGACAAGGAGGAGAGCACTATTGGCATATACCATCAGTGCTGTATGTAACAGAGAGCATTATTGGCATACTGGTAGCATCTCACTCGAAAGCTTTGAATCAGCTCTCCTGGGGCTTCCTGCAGATGCTAAGTAATATAGGGAAGGGTTCATGAACCCCCGGTCCACAGCCCGGTTCCGGCTTGCCGGAACTGGGCCGTGGATACTGATCTCCAACCCCCCACATGCACACAGTGGGCGTGTCGCGCTCGTGCAGGGGACGTGTCACGCTCATGCGGGGGGCGTGTCATGCTCATGCAGGGGGCATGTCCGGTTGGAGGGAGAGAGCCCGATGTGCAGGAGGGTAGTGTGTGTGTTGCGCTCACAGTGGGTGTGTCACGCTTGTGCAGTGGGCGTGTTGTGGCCACCGCATGAGCATGACACACCCACCGTGCAAGCGCGGGGGTGCCCCGCTCCCTCCCGCACATGGAGCTCTCTCCTCCCAACTGGGGACTGCTGATATAGGGGATATGGTAGAGACCTGAAGGACACCACATGTCAAAGCCGTGGTTTCAAGCAATGCTGTCACAGCATGATCGTTTAAGTATACCCCAACAGGAAAAGCTGGAATCGTTACAATATAGTGCCCCCAATACCCAATCTAGTCAGGCAGTCCAATAGGATACCATGGTCAATGACTTCAGATACTGTTGTAAGGTCCAGGATAACTAGTAAGATTGTGTCCCTCTCATCCAGTATGATGCAAGCCATCTACCAAGCATACTCTTTCCCTCATCCTGGCCACGAGCTCAACTGATAATCAATGTCATCTAGGAGTATCTGGAGTTACAGAGCCAACCTCTTCTCACATTCCTTAGCAAAAAAAAGAGGGTAAACCTGGCCTGTAACTGGTCAGATCTTCTGGCTCCAGGGCAGTTTTCCTCAACGATGGTTTACAATAGCTTTCTTGCAACAGGAAGGGACAAAACCTATCTGTAAGGAAGTACGGTCACCTTCTTTAACCATGGCATCAATCCAACCTTGACAGATTTGATTAGCCAGAAAGGGCAATCACCAAGCAGGCAGTGCCCTCACTAGAGCTGGGCACGAATTACGTAGTTCATCCCAGGTCGTAAAGGCGGCAACACTAAGGGCAATCACCAAGCAGGCAGTGCCCTCTCTAGAGCTGGGCACGAACTAGTTCATCCCAGGTCGTAAAGGCAGCAACACATGTGCTGCAGCTCCCTTTCCCTGCCTCCTCAGCTGATTCAACCACTCACCAGGCCCTGCTTGCTTGCTTTTTCCACCTCCTCAGCTAATCTTCCAGTAATGAGCAAGAGCACAGACTCCTCTGCCCCCCACTTTTATCTGAGTGGGAGGTCAGCCAAGAGTAATGCAGAGCTCTGCATATACATTAGAGTTTTGGCAACTTTTAGAATACACCAAGAATGAAACAAATAGTTTTCAAACATCCTCTTCTTGGTTATAAGAACAGGAAATATTCTTCTTATATTAATTTTCAAAGGTGTTTCAACTACTGCATTTAAGACTTGAGAGAAAGCAATCTAATCCATATTGCTCAAAAATAATTTGACAGTCTGGCAGTGTCACACAAATGTATTTATATGATGTTTCTTCAGTAAATCATAAAGGACGAAATGATGGAAAACAGTATCAGCTGCTATAAGATATTGTTTTAGTCTCTCACAGAGAAACTTCTCAAATTTGCAATTGAATGTATATCATTGAAAAATATAGATCATTTAAAAAACATACTTACCTTGATGCTGTTTAATCCTGATGGTCCCAAAAGTACTCCACAAATAATGTATCCGAACATAGTTGGCAATCCTATTGTGGTGCACAGCCAACCACAAGGCAAAGATAGCATAACTATGGTCACAATATCCTAATAAAATAAATTAAATATACAATTCTACTCAAGATATGCTTCCACATGTAATGACAAGTAAAGGGCAGTGACATACAGTACATCCACATCAGAGCCTTCTATCTAGTCCGGGAAAAGAGAGATCACTGATTAGTTCACTATTGTTCACCACTTATCCTTATTCAGATAAATTATTCTCAGGACTTGAAGAGGAGGGGTCCAATGAGGTAATGTAAGTATTTTTGCTTTAAAGTGAAGTCACTCCTGACTTATTAGGATTTATACTCAAATAACTGCATATGATTGCAGCCTCAACAGCAAGTCCTGTTTCTACTCATGAGTTGAAGAACTACCCACTTTTCAGTCCCATCAATGCTAAAGACAAGAGAGATGCCCAGTTTATTTCAAACACAAAGTTACAAATGTCAAGCACAGCTGTTTGTAATACTTGCATCATATCACTACACAATGTCTGGCTGTAACTTTCTGTGCTGTTCAGTATTGTGTGAAACAGACATAGCAAACACTGGACATTGCAAATCCATTAAAGCAAGAATTAAGTCTTCAGAGACAGCTATACAACTACTGTATACAGATATGGCAAGTCACCATTCTTAATTCTACATAAAGAGACCAGGTTCAGTTTTTGTTCCTTTCATATTTAGCCAGGAATCTTCACTCATTTGAGAAAAGAGAATAGCAGTAAGAGTACAATATCCAGATAAGATCTACACAGATATAAAACATTCTATGTTTGCATAACCAATACTAATTAGTGACTAACACTAATGACAAGTATTGACACATTAATTTAGTCATCTTTCTTAATCTGAAAATTTTGAGTTCCATCAAAGGGATTTCAGAAGTTTGAAGCATAAAAAGCAAGTCAGACTTTCTGCTTTATTTTTACTAAAATATTTATCCAAATGTTCTAATTTGTTCAGTGCCATTTATCAGAATTCTTACCTTTACAAAATGATGATCAGCACGTGGAATGGTTGAGTCTCTAGGTTTAGTAAGTATGTACTGATTGTTTTGTGAATCAATGAGCATACTCAGACCCAAATCATCTTCCACTTCTCTTTTGGAAGTGTTTCTTTTTGTATCTGCTTCATCTTCTTCTACTCTTAAGACAGCTTCAAAATTAACTCCTCTAACCTGTTATAAAGGAAAGGAAAGATTTCAGTATTTTATTTATTTAAGAGAAACCGTAATGCTAGATGAACAGGCTTTTCTACCTCTGAAAAAAACTCTTCCACTCTCTATTAGTCCCCTATGCCTACTCGAAATCTGTTCTGGAGTGCCCCAGTGCCCTCTGGTGCAGATGTTGAGAGTCCATCGTCCATTTACTTAAAAAGGCTATTCCACTGATTTGATAAAACTCTTAGTATTCCTTTTTTATCATTGTAAGTGATAAAGAAAAAGAATTAAATGGAATTAAAGCTTACAGACTACATTAACTTTTGAGTTTTAAGATGCATTAATGTACTATACACCATACAGGAGTGGTCCCCAACCTTTTCTGAGTTGCGGAGAGGTGGGGTCCATGCATGGGGGGGTCCTGGGTAACCCCCCGTGCTCATGGGTGAGTGGGATGCTCTCACGCATGCGCGAAGGGGTGGAGCACACATGCGCAAAGGGACGGAGCATGCTTGCATGCATGTGCAGAGGGGTGGAGCACACTTGTGTGCATGTGCAGAGGTGGGCACACTCATGTGCATGTGTGGAGAGGGGCACACTCATGGGTAGGGGGCACCCGTGCGTGCAGATGTGGTGGGTGGTTGAAGTGCATGCAGGGCAAGAGATCTGTCTCCGTGGCCCAGTCCTGCCATGGACATAGACCAGCACCAGACCACAGACTGGGGGTTGGGGACCCCTGTCATACAGCACTATAACCTACCGTGACTGCAGATTGCCATTTCAGCTTAATACAGCATTATTACTTGCCTTCTCAAAAATTTTAAGTTTGTTGACTTTATTTTTACCATTATGTAGAATAACAATGTGAATACTAACCCATATTACTATACTTTTTCCTTTTACACCAAAGCACTTTTATCTGCTTGTAAGGAGGTTCTCCTCTGGCCGGGGGGGCGCTGGTGGTGTAGGCGGGAAAAAGAGTCGGAGGCTCATCGTAAAATCCAACATTGGAAAGTTTATTGTTTATAAAGCTTAACTCTTTCGGATCAAACGGATCCTGCAACAAACAGTCATCTAACAGATGATACCTCTTCGCGCGCACATCAGGAGGCATCTCTTGAACATCTAATAAGGGGCCGGTCCAAACTTCTCTCGATCGGTCATGGGGCGGAGGGGGGCACTCCGAACGGCACAAACCGTTCCGCAGCAGGGATGCCTCGCCCAGTCCCCTTCCAAGGGATTCTTCTGATATTCGGGTTCTCAAATCCAAGCATGGGTTCAGTCTGAACCCCTCGGTTCTTACACCTCTCTATATTCGCATCCGTGCATATTCTAAAAGCCCGCGCGTTTTCCTCTCCTTTTATCTCCTCCCAGACTATCAGATCTAGCTCCTCCCCTCCTTCCTCTACCAGGCACACTTCCGTAGATTTTACTGGCACTACTTCAGTCTGTTCAATGTCAATCAGTATTCCTACTGCGCAAGCCGCCTCTTCTACTGTCTGGCTTTCCACGGAGGACGGCGCACTCCTCTTTTCTCCTTCACACTGCTTTCTTCACCAAAGATGCCACTTAACTATATTTATGTTCTATTCCCCAACTGATAAATTTGTATTGTCAATATTATTCAATTTCTACCCTGTTTCCCCTAAAATAAGACCTAACCAGAAAATAAGCCATAGTATGATTTTTCAGGATGCTAGTAATATATGTCCTACTCCAAAAATAAGCCCTAGTTAAGTGAAACCCCGCCCTCCACCATTGGGCAGCATTGGGCAGCAACCAGAAGAAGATGTAAAATAAAACATCCCCTGAAAATAAGCCCTAATGCACTTTTGGGAGCAAAAATTAATATAATACCCTGTCTTATTTTCGGGGAAATGGGATTATTTCATAACAGCTCTGAATAAAATCAGGATCTAAATAAACTTACTGACTTGTTGTCATCAAAGGCATGCTCTCCTATTTCTTCTTCCAGCCTATCAGCTGCTTTTCTTACATCTTCAAGAATCTCATCCAGAATAGACAGGCTTTTATTTTGATGCTGCATATTTTTCAGGGCTTCAGCTTGGTGCTTCTCTGCTGCTAGAAGCTCGACATATTCTGTTTCCTCCTATTACGATTTGTTAAATATAAAAATTTTTGTCAGAGCCAAAATAATAAGAAATTATTATTACTACCATTGAGCTCAGCAGTAACACCTATAGAATTTGGCAACCATGAGCCTCAACACACTCTCCCAATACAAGATCTATTGGAATTATCTGCAGCATCACCTGGAAATGATGCCCTGATGGTGATCACATCAGGAGAACCTACTTTAGACAGTGTGGATGCCCCATCAAATGATCTACTCCTGCTTGGGCACTCGGTTAAGAGCCAACAGAGAGCACATCCCTCCTTGAAAACCCCAAGACTGAGTGATCCCATAGATTCAACTCTATGGGAAATCTCCTTACAAATGGATCTCAACAACGAGGCTTTGCCCCAGGAGGATCTTAAAGTGGTCAGTGCACTCTCCGAAGAGAAACAGAGACTGCTACTTAAGAGGTTGGAGACACTTAAAGAATTAATTGCAATAGCTATGACACCTCAACCTAAGCACACACTCTTCTACAGGAACAAAACATTTCCAAGATCTTAAACTTTAGTACGAAAAATAACCTGAATGACAAAAACCAGCGAATGATGCAGGTTGTTCAGGCTGAGGTTTATATGGAGCTGCTTACTGTTCCTGCTCCACCGTTGTCTCTTGCTCTTCACATAGACAATTGCCTAATGACAAGTAAATCATGGTCCATAAGAAGGAACTTTTAAGACCCGAGTGCCTGCTGATTTTACCATCTCAAAATCCTTTTCCTACAACTCAAGCCTCCATAAAGATTGTAATCCCTCAGATTTAACTCAATGCACCATCAGATTTGGCAAAGTCAACCTTCCCTAATTTGGCAAAAAAAATATCTTGAGCCTTCCAACAGCTCGGTCAACAGTCCTAACCTTAATGATGTCCTTCTATTAACGGACACTGGCGAACAATTTAACCCTACTTTGGATTTCGAGCCTACTGACTCAAAGGCAAATTTGGAAAAAACTGAAACCAGCTGTGCTGACAAGGACTATAATGTCCATCCTCCCAACATACTGATGCCTACTCCATCAACACTCAAAGTTCTTGCAAAGCCTTTGACCCCCACTACTATCAAAACCTCCTCCTAATGGTTCCACTTGCGTGGAGCCACTGTTTGACTCCATTGTGCCTTATTCTGATCACTGACTATCCCCCCACCCCACAAATACTCTCCCCCCCTTTCCTTGTAAACTTATCTCTTGGAACGTTGCTGGTTGGTGGGGGAAATAACATGAGTTAGATTTTGTTAACTATCTAAAAACCTTTGATATAATATTTCTCCAAGAGACCTGGTCAACTAAAGAAATTGTTCTTTCAGGCTTTAATTATTACACCTTACCTGCCCTCAGAACTAATACAAAAGGCTGGTTTAAGGCAGGCTTATGTTGTCTGGTTAAGCCTGCACTTAGTGTAACATTTCTGCAGCTTCAGGCCAAACCACCACAAGCTCAGGCCTTTATGTCAAAGTGCCCTAAAGCAGTGGTTCTTAACCTGGGCAATATCACCCCAGGGGGCAATTTCGTTTTTCAGGGGGTTGATGGAACAAAAAGGGGCGATGCGGGGGTGAAGGAACAGAATGGGGGTGATGGAGCTGATGCACCACCTCCACCACTTAAGTTATCATTGCCCCCCTCCCCATGCCGCCAGATCCAGAGCGGCTGGTGCTGCTGCCGCCGCCACTGCCACCGCCATTGAGGAAGTTATCATTGCCACCCTCCCCGCGGCACTGCTGGATCCAGAGCAGCTGGTGCTGGCAGTGGATGTGGTGGTGCCGCCGGCACCGCCGGATCCAGAGCAGCTGGTGCTGGCAGAGGACAGCACCAGTGTCACGCCAGCACTGCCACTGAGGAAGTTATCATCGGCCCTCTCCCCGCAGCAGCGGCGCACCGCCACCACAGGGAGGCGGGCGATGATAACTTCTAGCAGATTCGGGAATGGCTCATAAAACTTTGCATACCTTCTTTGGATGGCAGAGATAGAAAGGAAATAATGTGTGGGTGTAACACTTCAGATATATCACAAGAAAGTAAGTTTCACTGGAAAAGACAGCCACTTTTGACTTTCTAATCGCTGATCACCCATCTTCCTCACTTGTTTTAGCAGGTGATTTTAATGCCAGATTAGGGTCCAGCAACGATGCTCTATCTGCTCATATGATGTGGGGCTCTGATGCTTTAATACCACCTCCCTTTTTGGATTCTAGGACATCTAAAGACCCAACAATCAATCAGGCGGCGCATCATATGGTCAACCTCTGTTGTAGTTATAATTTGAGAATTCTCAACGGATCCAGAATTAGCACTTATTCTGGTGAACCGACCTTTCCATCATCCAGGGGTATGAGCGTGGTAGATTACATTTTAATCTCCCCTGACTTGCTTCCCAAATTTATGAACGTTATGATTGGCTCTCGTTCTGAAAGTGACCATCAACCTGTTCTTCTATCTTTATTCTGGGTGCTTCCCCTCTTAACTACTGTAATACTATTACTCCCCCTGTCTTATATCATCATAAAATAGTCTGATCAAATAAAACTAAGGATTATAGATAAAAGTGATCAGGCACTCCCATTTCTTTAAGAACGTGCCATAATTTTCTGTCGTCCACACAGTCAAAGGCTTTTGCGTAGTCAATGAAGCAGAAGTAGATGTTTTTCTGGAGTGGTCGCAAGACCAGATAAAATAAATAAATAAATAAATACATAAATTCTCTGGCTTTCTCCATAATGCAGTGCATGTTAGCAATTTGGTCTGTAGTTCCTCTGCCCCTTCGAAATCTAGCTTGTACTTCTGGAAGCTCTCAGTCCACATATTACTGAAGCCTACCTTGTAGGATTTTGAGCATTACCTTGCTGGCATGTGAAAAGATGTTGTAATGAACTGTACATTTACATTACACTTAAAACATGATGTTGATACAATCCTCAATAATATACGCCAATCTATATAAAAAATCTCTAACCTAGTGTTTCCCAAGCTTTATCAAGTCATAATTCCGCTTAATGATAGCCACATAATCTCAGCTTCCCCTCACCCCATCTGCATGAAAAGGCAGGGATAAAGTTATCCCTTCTTAGGAAATAGAGGCTTCTTTCTTCCCCCAAAAGGCCTGTTTCTCATACACACTAACTTTAACATCCTGCTCTAAATGGTCAAGAAAGAAGTTATTTCACAAGGGTTACAACACATATAAGGTGACCCACAACCTTCCAGAAAACACTTTGTTACCTCCTGGGGGGGGGTCAAAACCCCAGGTTGGGAAATAGTGCTGTAATCATAATAGACTATTATGCACTATATATCAAAGCCAGTAAAATACCTATATAGTATGATACATTGAACAACATTTTAAATCATTTATTAAAATAAAGTTAAAAACTGTTTCTAAGACAGATAAGGGCTGCAATATTATGGCCGGTATGCAGAGCACCATTGGTGCAGCAGGAGCAATATAAGTGTGGGTTACTGCTAACAAAAAGTGTTTCAAAGAAATGAAGTCAAGCACGCTTCAAATAATAACAAAAGAACTCTAATTTGTGGCAATCTGCCACTCCCAGTGACATCATTCTTGCTGTGCCAGCAGAATTCTCCAAAGAGGATATTGCCCTATGCACAATCATTTCAGTGTGCGCTTCATTGAATATATTGAACATCTCTGAATAAACTCACATAGTACTATGATAGCTTCTTGAAAGGCATATAAAGGAATAAATGGACAATGTGTAATAGTTACACACACACAAAGGGCTGATCTCCCATTTGATCTCCCATTACAGATAATGTCCTAAGTCTAATGGAGCATATCTTCTGACAAAGCTGGTTCTATCAACAGAAGGTGAATCTGCCCTTCTCCAGCTACAGCTCCCAGTGCACTGTAAAAGCCTACTCTGGAAGGATGGGAAATCTTCCAAATCCCATTTTGGAGAGTCAGCAGGGTTTTCAGGGTAGAGGGGGAGAAATTTCTCTCACATTAGTGCAGCAGTGTCAGTGTCACTTTAGGTGTCACTTACCTTTAGGCCAACTCAGGATCTCTACTCTGTTGGTAATTAAGGTGGCTGCCAGAATATTTGGCCTATGCTTCTCACCAAATGCAGTTGTTTATTATTGATTAAAAATTTATAAGCTGCCTTTTATAATAAACTGTCATAAGGTGGTGTATAAATATATTTAAATCACTAATATAATGAACTAAAAACAATATTTTTACATCAGTTATAGAATCAAAATTAGCATCAATCAGACAGTGTGTTCTCAGTAGAGAGCCTCCTAGTTCTGTAATAGGTTAAGGTAAACATTAACTTTTTAAGGGGTTGTTTGAAGGCCTGTGATAATGTATGCCATTTTTGCAAACCATCTTCATAACACTGATAGGAATGATAATTTGAAACAATTCCACATATTCTAATTAGATACTGATTTAAAATTATGATATGATTAGACTTGCAACATTATTAAGCGATCTTGAGCTTCATTTTCCAACTACAGTGGTACCTTGCTAGACGATGACCCTACTGTACGACGAATCCGCAGGACGGTGACTTTTTTGCGATCGCTATAGTGATCGCAAAACAATGTTTCCTATGGGGGATTTTTGTTTGACGACAATTAGGTCCGTGCTTCGCAAACCGTTTGTTCACAAGACAACTATGTTTTTCGACTCCGCAAAATGGTTGCCCTGTGTTTTCCGGACGCATGCTTTGCAGAGCAGTCATTTTAACAGCTGATCGGTGCTCGGAAAATGGCTTCCCCTATGGGCAATCTTTGCTGGACGACGAGGTAATTTCCTTTGGAACTCATTAAATGGGTTTCAATGCATTCCAATGGGGAAACTCTTTCCTCTGGACAATGTTTTCACTTAACAGTGATGGGGAAACTCTTTCCTCTGGACAATGTTTTCACTTAACAGTGATTTCAGGGGAACGAATTATCATCGTGGTGCAGGGCACCACTGTACCCTTGCCTGGTTATCCAATATTAAATTTTTGCTTCATTTACATTTTCAGAAATCTTTCCAATCCCTTTTGACTGATTTATTAAGTGATCCCTTTATCTCCACATGGTACTCTTTTATTAACTCTAACATCACTTCCATAGGTATTAACCTGAACTCCCTGACAAATTGTAGAGAAACTCAACTTTACCATATTATCCACCAAAGAATTCGGGACATTGAACTTCAGACTCTGGCAGCTGATTTGAATTTACTAATTTGGTCTCCCCATTTTTATGGTTTGCCCCCTTTGTCTGTATCTGGTGCCAGTTATTTCACCAATCTCATTAACCCGCTGTGGCACTGAGCATTTATGATGGCCAGATTTAATATACAGTATTTCCCTCAGCTGTTCTTTCCGAAAGATATCGTAACATCCCCTTTAAGAGCTGCTGATGTAAGCACTGCTTAGCAGAACTGGACTCAATTTTGCATATTCTTCTTCACTGCCCAAAATTTAGTGAGCTCCATCAATTACTACTTAGCCGCCTAGAGTGGTCTTAACAGACTAGATAGGATGTTATGTTAGCAGATAAACAACCTAACTTGACTGAGTGTGTAGCTGAATATCTTGCTATTGTAATAAACTAGGCCGACTATTTCAAGGAGCCTTGATGTAACTAGACCATATTTATCTTACTGCAGTGGAAAGTATAATCTTGATTGTACAGTTACTAGTTTTAATGCCAATAAAGGGTTCTCATTGATTGAAAAAAGAAATTATTAAAATTAATATTTAATTTTGTTGACACCCATTGAAAAAACAGAAAATCTGTCTTTTGAAATAACTGCAGAGCAAGAACTTCCAGTCACAAGTTCTTTAATGAAGATGGAAATACTTTTTTAAAAATATTGCTTCGAAATGAGGGAAGCTTACATAAATTCAAGTGGAGAACAGCCACATTCTTACTTCCTCCATCAATTATGATTCATTTAAATATATTCATTTAAATATATTCTATGTAAAATTGTTTTTAATTATATTGTTGTCGTTTTTGCTGTTGTAAGCCGCCTAGAGTAATCTTAACTGATTAGATAGGTGGGATATAAAATAAATAAATAAATAAATAAATATTAGTATTGTCCCCTTTCCCTAGCCAAGGCTGGTTCATTTACTTAATTCTGTCACACACTCCCAATAATCTAGTCCAAATAATTCAACTCCCTCTCATGCTGAAAAGCTGGCAAGTTCATAGAACAAAAAAAAAAAAATGAAAAAAACTCCAACACAGTCACCAATCTTCTATTACTGCACTCGAGTTTCTGGACCCTTCGGTTTGATAGAATGTTAATATAGTGGAGAACTCACCTTTATTGCAGCTTCTCTCAAGGCTTCCAGTCGCTGCCGACTGCTTTCCTTCATGTTCACAACATCTTTGTAATCCCCTTGTAGAGCTCTTTGGAGTCCATGGATAGCTTGAAAGACTGAGTTTTCACTTTCATTTAACTCCTTTTGAAAAATCTCAAATGTGTGGACCTGAAAAGTCCTTTCTTCAAGTGACAACCCCGAGTCCTTTTCCACTGCTCTTATTGCACTTTTCAGTTTGTTGAGAACTACATTCTTTTGACGTAAGAGTCCAGATAGCTTTCTGCAGTTTTCTACAAGCCACTGTTTTCTCTGAGTAACAGCAGCTCCCTTCCCTCGATGCAGTTTTATTGCATGTTTCACTATATCCTCATGTTCTGCAGGAGTTATTAGTTGAAAATAAAATAATGACCCCAACATTCCTACACAAATAAAACCCATTACTTCCATTGTCCAGTTTTTATTACCAGTTACAGGAAAGCACTCAAATATGATCCTCAGATTTTATGTCATATGCTTTTTGTATTACAGATATATGTGTAGTGTGATGACTTAATGAACAGCAGGTGTAAACTAAAATAAATTGTGAAACCACTGAATCAAACAATAATTCAAATTCCAGAAGGCATGAGAACAAAATATTTTAAGCACTGTAAATTCTTCTTCATCACAGCTAGAGTTCTTTTCTTTTAAACACATCTTCTTTCTTGGCTTGCTTTCTGTCCAAAACATAGTGCTACATAACATTTATCACACTGAAATAATCAACTCTGTTGAAAAATCTTCTAATATTTTTTCCTTGGATGTGATGAAATCTTTTACTTTTGCACACTGGAATACTTGCTCAAACTTCTTATGGGGAGAGTGAATATTCAGCCATTCAAACTCTGTTAAAACAGTAAACATAAAATGGCTAATTGCATACAGTAATTACACCCCACATATTTTACTTTAAAAAGCTCTAGTGGCATCTGCTCCTCCCTGTATATTTTCCAAAAAAAGAAAGGGTTACTGTAAAGTGCTCTTCATGGTGCTGCCTTTGGAAAGTGTTTGGAAACTTCAATGGGTCCAAAACTCCACAGCAAGACTGTTAACTGGGGCTGGCTACAGGTGTCACAGAACTTCCATTACTGCTGCTTCACTGGCTATATTACAGCAGCTCCACTGTTTCCAGGCACAATTCGAGGTGCTAGTTTTAACCTGTAAGCCCTAAACAACTTAGGTCCAAGCCACCTTAATACCATATCTCCCTGCACGAGCCTGCCCAGGTTTTAAGACCCTTTCTCTTAATCCCGCCACCATTACTGGTGCATTTAGTGAGAGCACAAGAGAGGAACTTCTCTGTCGCTGCACCCAAACTATGGAACTCCCTTCTACAGGAGGCTAGGTTGACCCCCCCCCCTTTTCTATCCTCTTCAAGCAGGCTGTCTCTTAGTGACTAGCTGCTTAAGAGCAGATTTTTAAAACAGGGCTGTTGTGTTGTTTTAAT